TGTTAGATGGATAACATCTACTTTATCTACTTTTCCCATCAGAGCCCTTAATATAGGAATCATAGTTATTTTAAATTCTTTTCTTGATAATTTGAACATCTCTGTTATATCTGAGTGTGGGTCAAATGGTACTCTGTCTCCTCAAACTGTGTTTTTTCTTGATTTTTGGCACATTCTGTGAGTTTCTGTTGAAAGATGAGCATATTTTATTGGGTCATAGAAACTGGGGTAAGTAGGCTTTTGGTGTGAGCGTTATCTGATGTTATCTGGCTAGGAGCTTGGCTGTGTTCAATGTTCTCTGTGGCCATAAGTTCCAAAGACTTCAAATTCCCTTAGCATCCTTGTTTCTGTCTCCCCTGTAATCTTTGGGTTTCCCAAAGTATTTCTTTTCAGAGAGAGAGCGCATGTGTCTTATAGCAATGTAATCTGCTGCTATGCTGGGTGTCTGTTGGTGTATAGTATGGAGTGGGGAGAAAGGGAGCTTTCTATTAGCTTCTGATTAGACCTCAGCCTTCTAGTGGACTTATTTCTCAATGCTGTAACCTTCACAAATGTTCATCCAGAGGTAATAATTCCACTTCTCACTGTGAAATACTAAAATATCTTTCATATACAGGTTAGAAAGTGTCAATATAATTTTAAGATAAAGAGATTTCAAGTAGTGCCACACACATTGTCACAAACTGGAAGTTCAAGGTCAGAATTTAGTTAGGGGACATAGTAGAGACAGGTGTTTATTGCATATATAACCAACCTTACATTAGGCATTTTATAATTGTCACCTCAATCCCTACAACAATCATATGAAGAATTACAGTCATTGGCAGAATTGGAAAAGGGTTTCAGAAAGTTCACATCACTTGACCTAAGTTGCATAGCTAAACTCATTTGAATCCCCAGCTGTGACTTGGGAGAGTCTGTGACCAAGATGACTTGAATGCCCATTTTCCCACTCTTACAGTTATTAGATGGAGTCATGGCTACTGCAGGAAAAACTACAGTCCCCAGTCTCACTAGCATCTGACCCAAATGTTTGAAGAGTGTTGTGTGGCTGCTTCTAGAAATGTTCTTAAAAGACAAATTGATGCCTTTGTTTCTTTAGTCTTTGTCCCTTCCTACATTTGCTGCCTGGAAAGCGGCCATGATGGTGGCCATCTTGCTGATAATAATGGACAGAGCCCAGAAGGAGGAACAGCGGACATGGTTAGAAGTCCCGGGCTGGGACATGATCTACACATTGAGGAATCTAAGGACAAAAACCTGACAAACATTAATAATTTGAGGAGTGGACAGCAGAACAGGCCCATAGGCAGATGATACCAAGAACAAAGGCAGAGAGGTTAATATCAGTCCTAAGAAATAAATAAGATGTGGAGTGAAATCCCCAGGAATCTTTTCAGAGAAATTGCTGTGACCCATTGGAGGTGGAAGCAGGGTGGCTTAGGAACCAACGTGAGGAGAGGAGATGGACAAATTCCTCTAGGCTGTATTTTAGATGATGTTACCAATGGAGAGAGATTTGTTGGGATGGAGTGGGATGGAGGGTTTTGTAAAGTTAATTTATTTTTGCTAGTTTTCAGCTTCAACAGTGTTTAGTGCACTGACAGGATGCAGGGAGCAGCGTGGAGGTGGAGATACTGAGGTGTGGGCGAAAAGCCCTGGAAAGTGCTGGAAGCAAAGTGCAAGCCACAGGGTCAACCAGAGCAGGGAGGTGAAGGCAGAAGAAAGTGCCTGTGAAGATATCAGTTTGGGTTGCTGAAGGAATTTGTCCTTATCAACTTCCATTTTCTTGGTGAGGTAAGAGAAGTTACCCTTGGGAAAGAGTGGGCGATGGGATGGGTTGTGGTGGACTTGAGAAGAAAGAAGCACAGAAAGGCCACCAGGGGAAAGAGAAGGAGTGAAGGGGGACAGATCTGCCTGGCTCTGAGTTGAGGCCCCATGGGCGATCAAGGCTAGCCTTTGGAAACTACTAGGATGAAGACAATGTGAGGCCAACCAATGAAGCTCAAGCCCTGTAGCAGGAATGAGGACATGGAGCTGAGGGGCCTTACCTCTACCATCACTGCTTTACTCAGTACTGGTCCAGAGGAAGGGGGTCCAGGTGCAAGGACACTCACAGTTACCATCTTAGAAGCAGACTCCCCAAGGGCTGAGCACCAATGATTGGTGCACTTGTTACTGGTTTGGTCTCCAAGTTGATAGCAAACTTATGAGGAAAAAAAAAAAAAAGGAATACAGGCCACGAATGGCAATCTCAGTGGCTCAGCTGTGGCCTGTTCATAGCAGAAGGAAACTGTTCAGTAGCTTGGGAGGGAAGTGAGCTGGGATGTTTGAATAAATCCCAAATAGGCCACTATCCCAGAAATGAAGGTGCAGACACTGCCCTAAGAGCTCTTCACAAACTAGCTCTGCATGGGACATTTTGCCTCATGTCAGCTCTTGTTGACTGGCCCAAATTCTTGGTCATGTTTCTCTCAAGTGCTAACTCTTGGAGGTTGCTATTAGGGTTTTTTGTTTTTGTTTCTTTCCAAACATCTGAGTCACTCTACCTCTAAGATTCTAAGTGACTTCATTTGACGAATCATGACTACCTCAGCCTTAGAACACTGAGGAGTGTAAAGCTCATGTATAGCCTGGATTTCCTTTTCTATCATGGACTGTTTATATCTCCCCAAATTCATATAGTGAAGTCCTAGACCCGCAGTGTGATGGTGTTTGGAGATGAGGCTTCAGGGAGGTAATTAAGGATAGATCCGGTCATGCCAGTGGGGCCCTCATGATGGGATTAGCGGCCTTACAGGAAGAGGAAGAGGGACATCTCCCTTTCTGCACCCACACGCAAAGGAAGGGCTGTGTGAGGACACAGAAGGAAGATGTTCTCTGCAAGCCAGGGAGAGAGTTCTCACAGAAACAAATCACCTGACACCTTGATTTTGGACTTCCAGGCTCCAAAGCTGTAAGGCAATAAATTGTTGTCTCAGCTCCCCACCCCACAGTACTTTGTTGTGGCCTCATACTGCATCACAGTGTAAAAACCAAAGGAACCGAACAAGGGCGTTGTTGCACATTTGTATCCAACCAAACTCCTTCTAATGTCAAGAATTCTTCTCGGTTCTTGAGCAGCAGGCTGACTCCTAGATGCCAGATCATGTCATTCTGGATGATCTTTAAGGCTTCCACGTCTCAAGACTTGCTTAGGCATCAGGCTCTTGATCATGGCTTCATTAGGGCAAAACTTCAAGTGGAAGCTGCTGGGAAACTGATGCGGAGAGCACTTGCTCCCCTTGGATGAAGTCACCTTGTTGTAGATTACCATCTAGAACGCTGTAATTTACATGTGGTCTCTTCTCATAGAAGCTCTTCAAGTAAATCCAAATTTGTTTAGACAATTTCGTGGGTACTGTAAAACCACAATTGAATTTCAGGCCTTTGTAGCAGTCCAGCCAAGATGCACTCCAATTAGAAAAAATTGCTGTTAATGTTGTGACGACGTGGTGGCTGCCCACTGTGCCCCAGACCTTTGTTCTTGGAAATCCCTCGAGTCTCTTCTTTATTCTTCAGCTAAATAGACAGGCCCCTGGAACGTACGCTTTTGGAATTGTAATAGGGGAGCAATATTGTGCCTCTCTCTTAATTAACCTTGTTAACCAAGGATTTGGAACATTAGCTGGTTAGGCTAAGAGGGCCTTTTGAGCTGCTTGGTACACTTCTGCAGTTGAGTAGGATGTCACTCTTGTGAAATAAAATGTCTTTTATTCTTCAGCATACACCAAATACCTTCATTATTCCTTGAGTAATGGTGTGATATGCTTGTTTAGAGAAATAATGTGTGTTAGGGGCATAGATTTGTGCCAGGCACAATAAAACCTCAGCTATTAGTTTTATTATTATAAAACAAGTTGTTGTTGTTTTCCCCCCTCTCCCTCTTTTTGGAGGCTTTCTGCATGGACAGGAAATATAGGGGCAGAGTTGTCAGAATCACTCAGGCAGCTCAAGCTAAATCAGTCCACAGTGGATTCCAGCTTCCATATTCCCTGAGGCCACTGCCTTTCTAAGAGCATCTTACCCCCAAGATATTCATGACTTGTTTCTTTTGACTCTCACAGAGTCTTCTGAGGTACTTCTCATCCTTTCCTGCTCCCCACACAAAAGAAGGTAAGAGACAAAGGCTCCAGTTTTTCTCGCAAGGCAGATGCCCCTCCCAGCCTGGGAAGGAGTTTCAGGGATATGGTAATTAACATATTTTTCTTAATCTTCCTTTTATAGTGAATCTCCAATCTCCAGTTGGCCAGTTCATTGAACTGTAAGCATACAATAGATCTGAAATGAAGGCATCACAGATGAATGCCAATTCATAGACCTGTCCATTCTGTGGAAAAATACAACACGAATCCCACCCTGAAATACTAAATTAAACATTTGAAATTAATCACATGAATATGTTTTCCAGTCCACTAGGCAGCAGTTCACCTAACTCAGTGGAATGTCATTTTCCGAATAAGAAGCCACCATTCTTTTATCTCTTCTAGGAAAAAAAAAAAAAAAAAGCTCCTACATAGAATTTGGTCTAAAATCACTGCCTACTAAGTTCATTCAGGGAATGTGCAGGACACAGTGGCCCCTGACATACCCTGAGTGGGACTGGTATGTAGTCTGAGTACCTGGGACATGTAGAACGAAGGATTTGTATGGTTGGCTTTGGAAAGAAGGACATAGGACTCAAGGTGACAGGGAACCCTGAACTCTGTGTCCTTTGTATAGAGGGCATTCAAGCAAAATACTCATCCATCCTCTTCACTCCTAACTGTACCCTGCTGCAGGTTCAAGCAAAGCCACCTCTTCCACTTGGGCCTTATCCCCAACGACCAAAGTGAAGGGCAGTTCGAGAGACAGGATTCATTTTCTTAACAAATCAGTTGCAAGCAGAAATGACAAAAATGGGCTCTTCTTTTTTTAACTAAAACACAACAACAACAACAACAACCAGAAAGCAGATAGGTTGAAAATAGTCCAGAGAGCAGAGAAAGAATGGTACTTGTAGTTTCCAGATACACTGTTGGACAAAAATGCTTTTCTTGAAATCAGGATTATGGAATGCTGGGTATCAGCCATTGAGTTGGTCTTTAGTTTTTCTTGTTCTTGCCAACAAAGGTGTCCATCACATTAAAAGCGCCCATATAGTCAGCCATAAGCACTGCCATCTTGACAGGAAAGAAACTAAAGAGAACACAAGAGATGTTTTCTTGGTTACTATCATGGATGCGCCTCGGTCGAAATTTAGGGTCACTGACTTGCTGCAGATGGGAGTCACTGGCATGTGCACACATCAGTATGCATGATGTAGGATCACTTGGGGCTTGTCCACTGTATGGGGGGAACTGGCTCAGGGCCTTTATATCTTTTCTGGCTTTATTTATATTTACTCGACTCACTTCTCACATTGGTTTCCAAAGCTTCACTGCACTATATCATGATTGACAGGAAGCAGTGAAGTCTTGTGGAGTTGGATAAACCTGGCTTGAATCCTAGCTTTGTCACTTACAAACCATCCCAGGTCCATTACTTAACTCTTGAGCCTGTTTCTTCTGGAATCAAATGAAGTCCTCAGTCTCTGTTTCTGGGACTCCTGTGGGGATTAGATAGGTCCCAGGACCTTTGGCAAGATCTAACTAGGACCTCATCTAACTAGGGCACTCATCTCCATGCCCGCTCACCCTTCCCAAGACAGCACAGATCCCATCCCTCCGACAGTCACGATGCAGAGCAAGGGGAGGCACATTAAACCTAAGGCTTGTCCTCAGAGTAGAGGAAAGGAAAGGACACTAAGCTCACTGTCCATCTGTGGGCTCCCTAGAATGTCAAATGTTACCTCGTCCATGATCCCTCCCCTAAGCAACAAACTGAACGTCCAAACTGAACTTGCATCACCGCCTGCCTCCTACTCTTGGATTTCTCTTTCTTGCTTTATGTTTCTTCCTAGAACTTATGACTACCCAGCATGCCTTTTCTTTTACTTAACTTTTTTGTCCGTTCCCTGCCACCCACCCCACAAGAAGAAAATTTCAGTGAGGGCAAGGACTCTTTTCTCTCTCCTTCTTTGCCGTAACCCCGGGTCCTAGGATGATCAGCAATTTGTGGCACACATTAGGCACTCTCTAATGCTTACTGAATGAATATTTGAGGGAATGTGTGATGTCATCCCCTTTAATGAACTTCTTGTTTCCAAATACTTCTCAGGAACTATGTAGATCTCTCATATAAAAGTATATATAACCTCTATGATTATTCAAAAACATTAGAAAAATTAAGTCCTCTGTTCTTTACACTTGGCATTACTATACCACATACTTCTATCGATTAGGCAACAGATAGCCACTGTCCTGTGAACGCCCACACTGTCCTATAAGTTGCGTGATGTTCACTAATCTACAAGCTCTAACAAGCAAAGACTTCTAAATCGTAAACAAGAAACTGGCCAGGAGAATAAAGGGTATGCTCAGAGTCACAAACTTAGTAAGCCGCAGGATCATAACACCAGATTTCAAAGTGCTTGTCCAAGGTCCTTTGCCCTGCCTCCCAGAGCCTGTCGGCTGTATCTCTCTTGTGCTAGGTGAAACCTGGTCCGTGAAAGGACATAGGAATGATTTTGGTGCGTTGTGCAAAGTAGATACAATTAACAGGAGAGAAAAAGGCATTTCCTTATGTAAGAAGGACAGTGGCTGCCAGCCATACTATCTATGTTCAAATAACTCAAGAACTGCTGTCAAGAGGGATGGAATTAGTCATAATGCTAAGGGCAAAGTTAGAGTCAGTGAACGTTAAAACGAGACAGATTTCAGCGCCATGGAGGAAAGTGGTTCAAACATGGAATGTGCTTCCTTGCAAAGCAGAAACCTCAATGGGGTGGGGGGTGCTGTATAATTAGATGACCTGTTCCAGTCCAGAAAACAAACTGAGATAGTGGGAATCTGCAGCTGCTCAGCAATTTGGCATCACCCTTCCTAGAACCAGGTCCCATGTTCACAGACTGCTGTGGACGGGTCTCAGCACTAAAATCCAAATGGGACTAGAGAGAGTAAGCAAAGATGCCCTTGGGTGTTTTCAAGAGGTGGTTATCTTTTTAGTCCCTCCCTCCAATGCTCTTAACCCTTTAAACTTCAAATTTATCCTCTATTGCCAATTATACCCATACCACAACTTCCTGAAATGTTTGGCTTACTGTCTGCCCTTGATTCTGGGGATCTGTACTCAAGGAAGTGTGGACACGATATCTGTTCCAATGCAATTATTCTATGATACCCACAAGAAGACCATCTGTCCTAAAAAAGAAAAAAAAATGACTTCAATCTGTCCACAGGTCATTCAGTAAATCCACTTCTCTCTGACAATAATGCAATACTAAGGTGGCTGGCAGGATCCAATTCCATCTTCTAGGCTATGCGAATTTGAGGTCATGTTGGCAGTCAGGCACAAAGAAGGGATCCAAGTGCATTCATTTAACAGATATTTTTAAAGTGGCTCCTCCTGTTAGGAGAATGAGTTATTGACTGACTCGTTAGAGAAGTAATAGGAAGCTGATATGGTTACCTTTTTAAGAACAATATGAAGGATATAAACTTTGGCACATTTAAGTATACTTTGTCTGTCAGGATGCCATCTACTATCTTGTCAGCTACATAGTCTGGTTCCAGAAGGGGTAACAGGAAAGGACGGCTAAGGAGTTAAGAAAAAAAAATGATCAATTACTAAAAGAATCTTATAAATTAGGGATAAAAAAAGGTTGCAAACATTATCACTTATTTCTTTCCCTTCCAGATATGATCAATTTCTCTCTCTACTCCTTTATTATCAACATGCTAGTGACGACTTAACTTTAAAATGGCAAATGATGCCTCTAATTAACACACTGATGATACAATATATGCATCTATATGAAACCATATTAAACAACTTCCTGTCATCTCCACAAGATGCAGAATTGGGAATTTGTGTCCCCCACCCCATGATTTTCAGTTTTGCTGTGGAATCAGTCAGGGAAGAGTGCAGAATGGAGTTTGGTGGCAGAGAGAAACTACGGCCAGGAACGCTGGGGGGATGGTTAGAAGATCTGGCTACGGCGTGGGGTGAGCTGGACCCGGCCTTAATAAACCATCCCATTAAACCATCCCAATAAACCAAACCATTAATAAACTCAATGTCTTAATTGCAAACACATTTGAAGAAAGAAACAATTCTGAAATCACTTATAAATCAGGCTGAATCCTACGAAATACCTTTTTAAAACAACATTAATGAATAGAACAATATAAAATAGTCAATCATTTTTAAAAATGTCATTTCTTTGAAATCAAAGGACATACTTACGCAGTAGAACAACCTTCAAACATTCCAGTTTTTATAAAAAATGGGCACACAATAGTGGTTTTGATCCCTTTTAGTTTCTTGACTACTGTTTCCATAAATACAGATTCAGCAAATCCAAAGGCTGCAAATTTACTTGCACAGTAATCTGAAAAAGGCAAACACCGCCAATGTATATTCTAGAGTTTTTAAGCGGCATTACATCAAGCTTTCCTCCTAAACAGGAATACACATGGAGAATGGGACAGTCATGTCAGAGTTCTTATTTTGTATGATCTTGATCTGGTCCACTGGAGGAAGTAAAGAATGAGTGGGGAGAAGCAGCATCACCTAAAGGTCTGTTGACAAGGACCAAGTGCCCTCCGGGAGACGCAGGGCTTCGGGGAGCCCCCTGCAGGTCACCCTGCTAGACTTTACTTCTACCCTGATGAGAGGTCAGACACTGTGTGAACTGTTCCATGGAACGTGACATGTGTGTCCAGTCCCTGACCCAAACTGTTTCAAGAGCATCAGGGCAGGGAGACACACAAAAGAAGAAATGAAATAATAAGGGATGTAGGAGTCCAGGCAAGAGAGATCACCATGGGTCAAGATACTCAGATCAAATTTTCTTCTAACTATTCTAACTATCTTCTAACTAAACTTCTAACTTTCTCTTTGCTGGAGAAAAACAGACTGGCAAATGTCAACATCTACTTCTTACCCATCTTGAGAATGCAGAGGGCGTGGGAAGTGGCATCAATGTCAGTTTTGAGTTTTCTGTCTACAATCACACTCCAAGTGAACAACTGAATCTTGAACTCACAGAACACTTGGAGAAGAACTGGCATTTAGGTGGACTCTGACTCTCCTTTTCCTCACAAAGTCAGAAGAGGCAAATGAGTCATCCTTCCTCTGGGGAGAAGCAGCCACTACAACCGACAAGAGTCAGGTTCCTAGACTGCGGTGGATTAGACAGTAGAGGAAGGGAAGGGGAGAGGGGAGTCCCAAGCAGCTTCTAGGATCACCTGAGTCGTGGGGCATGAATGCAGCTCACTGAGCCCTTGCATCTCTGAAATTCAGATGAGCAGAAACAACCCGGACTCAGGCAATCTGCATTCTACATAGCAACCCCACTGATTATGAAGCAGGGGAGCCAAGACCCACACCATGGAAATTACAAAAGTCTTACACATGCTTCTAGGGTGAGCAGGGCATGGGAGAGTCTTGTATCCTAAGATATTGTGCCAGGAAAAGGATTCATAGGAACTACAAATAGACCAGCAGGAATTCAGAGACCCACGAGGTCACAATAAAACCTAGTGAACTCTAAGAAGGATGGAGGAAGGGGAGTCCCGCTTATGGGGAGATGTGTATAGATGCATAACATTTGGGGTGACTGATGGTTCTGGGAACTCTATTCCCGTAACTGAGCTGAACAGTGCTTACCATCTTGAGCTGTGAGTCTTCAACCAGTGGGAGAGCAGAGAGGTTAATTTTAGATTTCTTGGGCTGGAGAAACTTTCTCCAAATGCCCAGCAGAAGGAGACCACTTAATGGAAATTTCAGAAGCCAGAGTGCTCCTCCTTACCATCCCAATAACATTGCCAGGGGTCCCCCAGATAGTGACTATGCTAATCACTTGCATAAAAAGAATTTATCAGTGAGGTCTCTCTTTTCCTCTTTAACTTTTATTTGTTTATTTATTTGACGGAGAGCTAGAGAAAGAGAGAGGGGGAGTACATAAGCCAGTGGGGAGAGGCAGAGGGAGAAGCTGACTCCTGGCTGAGCAGGGACCCTGATGTGGGACTGGATCCCAGGACTGTGGAATCACAATCTGAGCAGAAGGCAAACGCTTAACTGACTGAGCCACCCAGGCGCCCTCTCTTTTTTAAAGCCCATTAGATTACGCTGACTTAATCATTCTAAAGTGCATAGTTCAACTGCATGTAAGCAAATCTGATAGGCAGTTCTGCTGTACCAGGTTCTCAACCACTTATCCTATTGAATATGTTTCTTAATTTATAACCCTTTATCATTGGTACATCAAATCAGTGTTGATTGTTTAGAGATAAGTAAGATAAAGTTATAAAACTTTTTGCAACTGCTAAATAATACACTTCTCTTACCTGCCAGTTTATTTACTCCAACTAATCCAGCTGTACTTGAAATGCAAACCAAATGTCCATGCTGATTAGCAATCATAGCAGGAAGAAAGGATTTATAAGTCTAAGAAGAGCAAGAAAGAACTGTTAACATTTTATACTTTTTTTCAGATGTTTATATGATCGTTGTGATGAAAAGAGTCTTTTAAGCTCATCAAACTACCTGAAGGCACTGGGGTATAAAAATGTAAATATCTGGCAAGCAAGCCTCTTAGTTTGTTCAACCTGGCAAATCAGTATTTAATGATGGTGGTTCCAATATTGTTCAAACAACTTATTTAGACTTATATTTCGTGTATATGTGACTTTAAAAAACAATATTCCGACAATAATTCAAGAAGTATGGGAGAATCTTAACTATGGCAGGCACAAACCACACACCAGTGAGAGTACTGGAGATATGATAATTTAGATTTATATTGCCTTTTTTCACCTCTTGGATCATATCTGGATTTCAAATTTTTATGAACGTCGTGCACAGGACATGCCACTATTGGCTTTGGTTTAAAAAATCACTTTGTTTTGAAGTTCATCTCTACTTCTTTGAATAATGGCTTCTAATTTCGATTCCATGTCAGCAGAGAGGATATGTTAGAATGGGTGTGTGCTGTGTCTCAGTAATATAGAGCACCTTCACCTTTGATGTGGGACCTGAAAAAAGAAGGTAAAGGAGAGAGAAATGAGTTTTGACAGAAGATATGTTCTACAACACAGAAATAACTCATTAGACAGGAATCTTGCATATTTCAATGAATTTCTATTTCATATTTATTTTCACACTTGAATCGTATGAGTAAATATGAGAAAAGGGATCTCTTATGGAAGTCAACTGACCTTTGCGTGCATCACAATGACTTTCCAAGAGAAACTAACACTTAGAGGCAGAAAATCAAAGCGAGCCCACAGCGAAGCATAATGAAAAGCTCCCTGAGTTCTGATGGTCTGAGGTCTCTTTATTTCTCCCTTGGGATGCATCCCTTGGGAGCATGGCCACCAGGAGCCCTCTGACCAACTAGCAATTAAGTGCCTACTCCATGCAGGGGCTCAAAGAATGTATGCAGACTTGCCTAGAAAGACAATTAGAGGAAGAGAGAGAAAGCAGGGAAAGAAGAGACCCAGGAAGAAAAAGAACGCAACAGAAGTGGAGACTATGAATGAGATGATGGTTTTATTTTCATTCTGGCCCAAGAATCTAACTTCATTCTAACAAAGGAGAGGGATATTTGGGACAAGAACACATAAATCACTTGCAGTAGCTCCCAAAGTTAACATGGTGCTCACTTAGTTCAGAATCTTTCCATCTTTCTCCTGAAAACAATATAGAACACCAACAATACCACCAGTGCCAGGACACTTTTGGTGAAACTAGGTGAAAGAAACTGACAAAGTCCAAATAACATTTGAAGGCTGCCAATGATGGTAGGGCAGGGAGTCTGTTGGGGAGGTGTAAGGAGGATGGAGGGAGCTCAGAAGTCTCCAGCAAATACACCCTCCCAGCAGAGAGCCACCCAGGGCAGTGGAGCAAAGAGAGGCAATGGGGGGCATGCCTGTGGATGGGGAGGTGTGGCAAGACTAGGTTCAGCAAAAGCTAGGAAAACCCAAATTCTGCAAGGGGCACATAATATTAGAAGTCAGGGGCTATGATCCCTATGATTAAGGATCCTATGATCCTTAATGCCCATGGCACCTTCCTGTGCCCTTTAATGTCACCCAGGTAACATCTCTGGTAGAGACTCTCTTTTCCTTGATTAGATACTGAGTAAGGTGACTGCACATCTTGGTTTGCCCAGAATAGACCTGATTAATGCTTGTTTATTAATAATGCTCTCTTTCACTTTCTCTTTTTAATCATCATTATTATTATTTTTTATCTTTTCCACTTTCAAAAGGGTTCCAGTTTTGGGAAATTATAAGGTCACCTTGGTCAAGTTTATGTGATGTCATTTCTGTGTGCCTTGAGCAAATCTTTTAACTCCTCTGATCCCTTATTTCACTGAGCTGTTTCAAGGATTATACAGGAAGTGCCTAGGACAGCACCTGATATAATCAATAAATGACAGTAAAACCATAGGACAGTTGTCTTTTTTCAGGATTCCTGAGCAAAGGCTCACGCAGGTGTAGGTTAAGTTGGATCCAGGGTGGGGTAGGGGAAGCATCGGGGTCAACCAGGAGAAATCTGAAATTGAGAAGTCTGTGCTTTAGTTAGAGGTGAATAAAATTGTAAGAAAACAAGAGGAAGGTACTTCTAAATTCAGAGTAACTTTAGATTTATTATGAGAAGAAAAAATAATTACCCATAAATGTGCTTTAAAATTCACATCTAAAGCCTTTTCTATCAACTCATCTGGGCAGTCGAGGAAACTTTTGCCTGTCACGACTCCGGCATTGTTGATTAGGATGGAGACATCGCCAACTTCTTTTTTAACCTGCATTGAATAACAAGAGCAACACACCACCCATGGAGTAATTCTTTACATGATCTAAGCTTAAATTTCCATAGTTTTACAGGCTTCTTATCCTAGTTAACTCAAATGGAGGTTGGAGGTTACGTACTCTGCAAAGTATGCTTTATTTCCTCTGCTGAGTGTATGGTGCATCAGAGATCCACGTCTGATGCTTTTCTTCTCAGTTCTTCCCCCCTTCCTAGGAGGTTCCAACGCTGCAGGGCTACTTTCCTTAACAGAGCAGTTAGAGCCATTCTAGTCCCTTTTTCAGGCTCCATGTAAGTAGTAGGTTATTTCAACCACTGAGATAGGCATTATAGTCATGTGATATAAATCAAGACCCAGCACACACTGAGATGGGGTGGAGCAGGAAGGCACAGAGGAAGCATGACATTTCTAAACAGGTTTTATGCACATGCCACAGCTCAAAACCTGTCTGTCCTGCTTATACCAACTAGCTGGCTTTCTTCCCCCTACCACAGGCTTCTAGGTATTAAGATATGTGAAGGGAGGATTAGAGTAAGCCCCATTTGCTGCTGTAATGCTGGCCAGAGTACTCCATAACTTGTATTTAAGAAATATAATTTCTGCATGGGACCTTGGAGCCTTTCACTTATAGTAAATCTTTAGCTTGTAATCATGGCTATTATGGCAGAAGTGAGTGCAGGATTTTTCAGGATTGGTGACACAAGATGATGGTATCCCTGTTCCTTTCTGTGCTTGGAATTCCATTCCTGTAATTTGTATCCCAAGCAGGGGCTCTGCCCACCCGATCAGAGAGAACCCCTGGTTGCAGTTGCCCTGTGCTGAACAGGAAGCTCACAGCAGTACCCCTTACAATGCTAGCTGTGTGTGTGTGTGTGTGTGTGTGTGTGTGCATGTGTGTGCCTATGTGTGTGTGTGTACAGCTCTCTACATGGATGGCACATTCTGGCACAGAGCAGGATGTATTACTGAAGCCAGGTGGAAGCTACCACCTCATCCACTGCTCTGGAAGGTCTGAGCCCCAGCAATGAGGGTGACATGGTAGGGATTTCTGAGCCAACCAGAGTGGCAGTCTAGGGAAAACTGAGGATGAAATAAATAGGACCAAGGAAACCTCACCTTATGGTAGCATTTTCAGATAAAAGCACTGGAAACAGATCTGACTTAAAGTTTTATTTGGAGAGTGGGTAAAATATTTAGTCAATTTCAAGCTGAACAAAAGTCAAGGCTAGAAACAACTAGCCCTACCTAAGGCAAAACTGGATACAGGCTTCTGGTTACAGGATGAATAAATCACGGGAATAAAAGGCACAGTATGAAGAACATAGTCAGTGGTACCCTTGTGTGATGGCAGAGGGTAGCTCCACCTGTGGTGAGAATACCCTAGCACATAGAGCTGTTAAATCACCATGATGTATGCCTGAAGCTAATATAATATTGTGTGTCAACTATACTCAAATGGAAAAAAAAAAAAAAAAAAAGGCTGGACAGGGCTGTGGACTGAAAGCCAGTAGGCTAGTAGCTCATAGCCTTGCTCAGAGTCAGGGATGGCAAAGCCAGAAGTTACATCTCAGAGAAATAAACAGATATGTGTGTCCACTGCCCCCTCTCACCTGAATAAAGCATGTTATCATACACTTGACAAAATTAACATCAGACTTTAATTTCAAAATGGCACCTGGTTTCATTATCTGTGACTTGTGTCTTTGCAGTATATGAATACTGTATCTTTATGAATCATACCTTAAATGTACTGGGCTAAGCACCTGTGATAAGATTTTTCATGTGAATAATCTTCCCATTGCTTTATCTGTTTTGTATATAGGTTTATATTGCTTTATCTGTTTTGTATATAGGTTTATCTTTTCCCATTTTTTTTTTTTAAATGAGGATTATCTTGCTCCAAAGTCTGCTTTTACATTTTAAATTAGCTTGGAAAGACATCATGAGTATTCAGCCTCCGCCACATTAGGGGAAAAAAAAAAAAAAAGGATCAGCTTTAATTGTATGAGACATATATTTAAGTATTACTGACCAATGATAACCCAATAAAATGAGAGTAAGCTTGTTTGCATTGTGTTGTTTTATAAGAGACACAGGGTAACAGCTAAGGGAAAATGCAACAGACTAATTTTCTTTTTTTGCATTCATTATTCTCCTCATTGTAAGAATGTGGCAACAGTGTGTTCAACCCTGGATGACAAGTCTAGTGAGACTCCCGCATAAGCTGGGCCTGCCTGCTGGTGGGGATTTCTCTACAAACAACCCAGCTATAATAAAAGCCAGAAGACTGGGCACCTGTGTGGCCCAGTCGATTTAAGTGTCTGCCTTCAGCTAAGATCATGATCTCGGGGTCCAGGATCAAGTCCTACATGAGGCTCATTGCTCAGCAGGAATGTTTCTCCCTCTCCCTCTGCCCGCTGCTCTCCCTGCTTGTGCTTTCCCCTGCTCTCTCTGATAAATATATAAATAAAATCTTAAAAAAAAAAAAAAAAAAGAAAAGAAGGGAAAGCCAGAAGATCGTGCAAGTCAGTGTCTCACTTTAAACTGTCCAAGATGGCTGATATGAACTTCCCAACTCATTAGTGGTGGTGGGCAATAAAGAAAAGTCTGCTTCTACTAGTGATGACGTAGTTTAAAAGATGAAATGATCCTGAAATTTGACCTTGAACATCAGGAAGCAGAAATAAACCTTAAGGAATTCTCATAGATGTCACAAATAGCGCCCCCCCTCCCGCCCCCGCCGCTGTTGAACCAATGCAGTCAATTGATTCTGATTTGACTTATCTAAGGGATCAGTCATTAAATGTAGTCAGGACACTTCTACATGCCTCATGTAGGTAAGCAACCATGATACAGCCCCACTCTCATCATGTGTTTATTGTTTAAAATAATCGCTTACCTAGGTTGCCAAATAGCAAAGGCTATGCTTTCTGAACTTAGTGCCAAACTATAATCTGGGGACACTAGCTTTCAAAGTTCTTGGGGTCTGTGGAGATGACACAATGTCATACCAATCTGAAACCTTTCATCATGATCACTGCTCTCTGGAATACTTTTAGAAAATCCTTTGGTATCTTTCCTCTCTCCAGAGAGAGGTTTATGAGTAGAGAGTAGTTTGCTTCCCCGGAATTCCAAAGAGCACATAATCAACTCTTTTTAAGACCCATAAGTAAGAAAAGCTGAAAAATGAATTGCTAATATGTACCATTTGACCATTTCTGAACTAAGCATGTTGGTCAGAACTAAGCCACAGATACGGGGAAGAGGTGGTTATTTATAGAGTGCCTGGAATTAGCTTGCTCAGTATTGGATGGTCTTCAGTATGTGAATATGAACCGAAGATTGCTTAAGAGTGGCTACAGAAGTTGTTTGCAGTCAGCATGAGGGGACATGCCAGGTGATCATCGCTGTAAGCGCAGACATTCATCTGTGAGGTTGGCACTTTGAGGGAGGTACTAGCTTGTCAGGTTGGGGTCTCCAGACTGTATGCGGCTGCGTGGGACTGGAGATGGTAGTCACAGATGTATAGAATTTAAAGACAAATTTCAACAGAAGCTACACACTCACCTGCCAATGACTTGCCAATCTTACCACTAAGAAGTAAGGTGGGAAACAGCAAGGGGATTTGAGGTAGGGGCTAGAAGCTGTGCAAGAACTTTCCAATGGGGCTGGGCTGCTCTTTGCAGGCCAGTCTGGTTCCTTCTTTCTTGCTAAATTGGGGAATTTTGGGGGCTGCCAAAAAGGTGGCCCAGGAGAGCGATATGCGGAGTACTCATGTCGATGCGGGTATAAAGAAAAACTTTATGAGGGAAAAGAGGCAGCAAACAAGTACCTGCCTCGATGAACAACAATAACAACAAAAAACCTCCTACCACTCCTTACTGGGGTTATGATTTCCTGAAAGTCTTCTTTAAATGCACAGCTGTATCATCACCAAAGGAGCAACTGTGGTTAAGCACCATTAGGATGAATGAAATATTCTGATTTTCTTATGATTACTTAAGAGAAATACACATTCAAATGAAAGGCACTGTGGTGTGGTAGAAATAGGGGAGTTTCAGCTCAGACCGGATATGGGTTCAAGCCCTGGCTTAGTCAAGGGCTAGCTCTGGGACCACTGAGCAGATTATTCAATATCTCTATGTCTCCTTTCTCCTTCAAGAAGAGGGCCACCCTCTACCTCCTATACTGTAACACAGTCTGTACCACCTGGTTGGCAGGGCCAGGTGTGTACTATGGAGTCAACAGACTCAAGGTTGAGCCAGATCTTTGCTACTTAGTACCTGTTCCTTAGGGGAGCTACTTACTTCCCTAAGCCTTGGTTTTCTTATTTGTGAAATGGAGAGAGTCATGGACCTCACTTTATAGATTAGGATACAATACAGCTGGGGTGTTTCATGTGGTGTATGGTATACAATGACAACTCACAAATCCTAATTCTCACTCCTCAAAACTTTTTCAATTAAAGGGAAGTTGGAGACAGGCAAAGCTGCACTGAGCAAGGCAAAGGGACAGAGAAATGGAGGCATGCGAGTGTATCCGTGAACGGGGCTTACTACCCACAGGGAACAGCAAGACACAAGATCTACCTGCTCGGCCACTCTGTATATGTTTTCCTTTTGGCTGCAGTCGCAAGTGTAGGCATAAACTCTCGTGGCTCCAGCTTCCCGCACCATCCTGCACGTTTCCTCGTTCCCCTCCTTGTTGATATCCCAGAGAACCAGCACGGATCCAAGGCAGGCAAATCGGAGGGCCAAGAGCCTTCCCAGTCCGCTCCCAGCTCCAGTGATGAGCACGATTTCACCAGCAACATTCTTCCGTGGTTTGGGGATGATGGAGAAAATCAAAGACTCCAGAAAAGCAATTATCGATTTTCCTAAGAAAACGATCAATTCCTTGGATGACTTCAGGCTGGAAGCCATGTCGTGGATGAGACCTGTAAAGGAAGAGAGACCCACATAAAGCCATCTGTGACCACTCCCTCTGAGTGTGTGGACTACATGGAGCTCATGTTTTCTGAGATAGCAGCAGAAACTGGGACGTGTTGTTTAAGCTTCTATCTTGGTAGCAGACTCTGAACTTAGACACAGGGACTGTGTCTTGGACAACTTTCATTCACAGAACCAAGCTGGGCCCACATCTGAGTAGGACGGGACAAAATGTTCCCTAACCAGGAACTGTAACCACACCAATATTTGACCTGAAGGAGAAGTTAATTCTTTCTCACAGTTAACCTTTCTTCATAATAATCCCAAGTCCCGCTGATTGCTTTTATGTTCAAAGTCATAACTATATTGTAATGTTTATGTGGTAACTGCTACCTTTCTGGTTTTACTTTTGCCTCCTTTTGGGTTTGTATTGGTATTATTTTTTTAAAGACTTATTTATGGGGGGGGGGCATACATGGGGGGCTGGTGCAGAATTTGGAAGGAAGTTGTCCTGAAGGGCAAGTGGTGATTTTCAGATTCTCATTTTAAGCTCAACTGTGGGGTGTGTGTCTTCAGACCTGCAAGGATGAGGGTCAGCCTTCCCACAATAATGGAACACCCTGGATACCCTCCCCAGGCAGCACGCTGGGCACTGTCAACACTCCTTCCACGAGAGGACTCACACCAACTCATCCATGCCCCCTTTCAGGCACACCACTATGAGAGTCCATGCCAGAGGGAGATATTTTTTTTTTTTTTTTTTTTTTTTAAGATTTTATTTATTTGACAGAGAGAGAGAGATCACAAGTAGGCAGAGAGGCAGGCAGAGAGAAAGAGGGGAGGAAGCAGGCTCCCTGCAGAGCAGAGAGCCCACCGCGGGGCTCCATCCCAGGACCCCGGGATCATGACCTGAGCGGAAGGCGGAGGCATTAACTCCACTGAGCCACCCAGGAGCCCCAGGGAGAGAGTTCTATTTCTCTCCTCAGTGGGCTCCAACAACATATGGTGGCTAGAAGTTTCACCACTGACCTGGGGAAAGGTTCTTAATGCCAGAGGCAATAAACTTCAGATTCCACGGTTCAGTGTTGGCATGATGTAAGACCTAGAGTAAGGTCTTACCACTTATCGCTGTCTGGGCAGCTGCTTATTAAGTTCTCAAGAGCTTGGCATCCTGAGGTCGCTCTCATTTGGGGTTTAGGGTGTCTGCTGAGTATCTGCACAGGTAGTGCGGTGTAGAGATTAAAGTTTGGGTTGGAATTCTGGATCTGCCACTGACTTTTCTGCAGACTTGGTTAAAATATTTTATCTTTTGTGCCTCAGTTTCCTCTTCTAAATAAGGGGATTCTGCAGGATACACCAATCAGGGAGCTGTGGAAGTTAAAACTTAATACAGGTAAAGTGTTAAGGTGTGTAATACTGTCCCTAAGATCCCTTATGAAATTTCTGAGCAAATTGGTGGTGGGGGCGAAGGTTCTCATTGCCCTGAACACAGCTCCTCCTTCCAGGGTGTATAGGGTGGGGGTGGGGCAAGAGGAGTTGGGCTGGATTTCAGCACCTGCCAAGTTACATATCACCTCTGTCTCCACTCCTAATGCCCATAATGTGGGGGCCTTCCTAGAACAATGCCAGGCCCATAACAGCAAAATGACTGGACTGGCTAGAGCTATGACTGGTGTTCCTGCTAGCATATAAATTAGATCCCTGCCCATAGCAAGGAAAGACGGTAACAGTTAAGTATACTTACAAACAAAAGTAAATGTAAGGTTCCGTTTTAGTGTAAAGACTGTCTTAGGAAGTTACAGAGCACATTAAATTTAATCAGGTTACACACTTTGGTGTGTAAAGGGCCTGACTACTTAGTTCAAAAGTTGAAATAATTTGGGGCACCTGACTGGCTCAGTCGGGAGAGCAGCAACTCTCCATCTCAGAGTCGTGAGTTCAAGCCCCATATTGGGCATAGAGCTTACTTCGGGGGGGGGGGGGGAAATACTGAACTTGATGCAATGTAAACATGTCTTCTGCCTCCCATGCCAGGACGCAGCGAGCTGCCCTGGTGAGAGGTATGTGATGAACTGGGACGGTGGGGAGAGAGTGGTAGACGCGCTGGGCAGCAGAGAGCAGCGTGGCGCTCTCGCCCCTCACTCCCAGCCTCAGGGCCGGGGCTCACCGGCCCGCGCCCTCTCTCGCAACGCCACCCACCCCCCTTCCTCAGGCCACCCCGCCACAGCTTTACCGCCTGCAGGCGGGTGGCTGGCTGGGGGCACCGAGCCACGGGCGCCTCGGAGGGGTGCAGCGCCACCCCCTCACGGAGGTCTCGCCCGGCCCCGGCTCTGGACTTCGGGAACTCACCCTGGACACGCAGCCCTCGCGGTCAGTCGACAAGCAGTGGTCTGGCAGTCGCGCCGCGTCGCAGGCTCCCGGCTGCGCGAGGTTCCGGAGTTTATCTCGGCGTCTGCCCCAGGCCAAGTCCAAGGTGGGGGCGGCTCCGCCCTCGCACTGGGTGGAGCCACCTTGGGGCCCCGCCTTGGGGCTCCCTTGACTCCGCTTTTCTTTTCTTTTCCTTCCTTCCTTCACTCCCTCCCTCCTTTCCTTTTTTCCTTCCTCCCTCCTTCCTTCCTTCCTTCCCTTCCTTCCTTCTTTCCTTCCTTCCTTCCTCCCTTCCTTCCTCCTTCCTCTTTCCCCCCCAAGCTGCCAGTTATAGAGGCTGGACATTCGATCGCTATAGCTGGACGCACACGGTTCGAATGCAAGAATCAACCCTGGATGTTGAAAAATCCTGATATCCAGGCTGCATCCTGGATTATTAAGTCAGAATTTATGGGTTGGAAGGTTCCCCAGGTGTTTCCAAAGCACAACCTGGAGGGGTAGGGCCAGTGGGAACCCTTGTGTTAGAGACCAAAAAGGAGGCAGGTGCAGGAGTCCTTGGGTGGGCGGCAGGGAGTGCCCAGGGAGCCGGGTCAGTTCTCTGCAGCGTGCAGAGCAGGGCCGGGCAGGAGTTCCCCAGCAGAATCTGACTCCTGTAGTTGGGATCAAGGTCAACAAAAGCTTCCCTGGCCCAATGGCTGTAAGGAGTGTGGGGGTGGGATAGTCTCTTGGAAGGAAGGTGGGGTGTTGGGCAGGAGTGGGTGCGGCACTGGCGGGAGACCAAGAAGTAGGAGAGGGCGAGGTTTGTTCTAAGGAGATGAGGTGGAGAAAAAGTCAACAACATACTCTGGTCCAATCAGTGTGCACTGAAGGAACACCTCTGTGTACCAAGACCTAGACAGTATAACAATGGTATAGCTGTCAAAAAAAATGTTCAGTCAACATTAGCTAATCCTCTAATATAGAATAAGTCACTGCTGAAACGCTTATTATATAGGGTGGAGTTTGTTGGGTGATATAAGAAGCTGGAATATCCATAAATTACAGAGTGCTGAAGGAAAACCAGGGAGTCAGGACAAGACTGTGTTTGGAATTGACTCAGGGTTGTGTCAGACACACACACGTGGTGAAGCCTTGAAGGAGAGCAGGTTAGCCAATTTTTGTGTGAGGAACTAAACATTCCTTCTTTATTTGGCCATGAGAAGAAACAGGTGGGTTGTATAAGTCTGGAAAAGTCGGTGCAGCGAAGAGCTGTGAAGGTCATTTTGGTGCATTACGGGGGTTCTGTAGGGAGTGGTGAGCTGCGCAAAGTGCATAGTTGTGCTGTCTGAGGGTGAATGGGGCAGGTGAGTGTGGACGGGTTTCAGCTCAGCAGTCATTGCCTACCAGTATGTGTTGTGCCGGGCAAGTGCTGTACCCGGCTTGGCGTTTGGCTCTGGAGCACTGCAGAGCTTTGGGGAGCTGGGTGGGGGAGGTGGGGGGGCACATCCATGGACTGCACAGGTGTGGATGTTAGTGTCAAAAGTACAGAAATAACAGACAGAAGACCAGTGAATCAAGGAACTAGTTGTCAGTGAAAGTTTATGGCGCACACCAGAAAGTTTGCAGACTGGGAATGCTCAAACCAAAACCTGGAATGAGTCTCATATTAAAGCAGCTTATATAGTGAGACGGCAGTGGCTATTCTTCACTGAGATTGGTTATAATATTATAATTTTCTTAAATGATAGGAAATTGGTCAGTGGTTACCACCTATCGACCTTGGGAAACAGTTGCAACTTTTGTCAGAGGGATAAGCAAGAAACAGTTCAGGTCAAATTAGTCTTATAAAATAAGCTAAATTAAACTTTGCTCTTATGACTCAACTGGCTTTGTCTGCTCTGAATTTTCAAGGCTCATCCTGTTTTCTTGGTTTTGTTTTGTTTTGTTTTTAATTTTCAAAATAGACATGCAGCCCCATGCCTGGGGTGCATAGAATAGGAGCCTCTAACCAGCCTGCATCATGAGGAGAGGTAACTGGAAAGGTCTTTCAGATTTTGGAGATGGAATGGGCCAAGGTGGGGAGGTGAGCAACACCTGGGAGTGGTAGTGGATTCTGGCGCAGACTAGTCTGTCCTGGCTCTAGCTCACATCACCTGCCTGCAAGAGGTCAGATGGGTGGCCAGTGGAAAACACCAGCCCATGAACTCTTCATGTTTTCTTTGAGTGAAGTTCTGAGCTGCTTCTTTTCTTTCTAATGAGAAGGTCAGAGTAGACCTCAGGAAAGAAATCTCAAGCATTATTAGAAATCCCGTTAAAACAAAGTATGAATGTAAAACAGTGGCAATTTCATTAATGATGTCATTAAGGAAAATATAAGCCTTGATGTTTGGAGACAACTCCAATCTGACTTGAAGTAGGGGAAACTCAGCAGGTTGACTATGATCCTGAAAGATAAGAATGTATTCTTATCTTTTTTTAAGATTTTATTTATTTGAGAGAGAGAGCTCAAGTGAGCAAAGAGGGAGAAGCAGGTTCACCGCTGAGCAGGAAGTCTTACTCAGGACACAATTCCAGGACCCTGGAATCATGACCTCAGCTGAAGGTAGACGCTTAACCGAGTGAGCCACCCAGGCACCCCAAGAAAATATTTTTAAAAGGTCTTTTGTGGCAAAGGCTGGGAAAAGCGTATGTAATGACTGAAGTTGTAGACTAGGCTGATGAACATAGGAAAGAAAACATGCTCTAACTTTATTCTTAGGGAAATGAGTAGTAAAGTGTTTCTTGCCTTACAAAGTGACAAATATTAGGAAAAAAAGAGCATGTCTTCGTAAGGGAGTGGTGTAATTTATACATTGCTGAAGAGCAAGTATGTATCGAGAGCTAGAAAGGTTTATACCCTCTCACAGTTCCACCAATGGGACTTTATATTTAGAAAATAATCAGGTGTCATTTGTTGACTTCAGGAAGGGAAACTGGTCAGTGGGAGTCATGGGTTGGAAGGGAGACTTTTGACTGTATTGAATCATGCATTACTCTTTTGGGGAATAAGCAGGTTAATAAAAACAAACTGATCATTATTTTCTAACAAATATGCACAGATGGAGGGCTCTATAACCATTTTTTATAAAATCATATTTTTAAGGGTATATAGGAAAATACTTTTACATAATGTTAGTTTAAAAAACATAGTATAAGACTGAGGTGGCTGGGTGGCTCAGTCAGTTAAGCATCTTCCTTTGGCTCAGGTCAGGATCAGGTCCTGGGATGGCAGAGCCCCATGTTGGGCACGCTGCTCAGAGGGGAGTCTGCTTCTCTCTCTCTCTCTGCCCCTCCCCTTGCTCCTCTCTCTCTCACTCTCTGTCAAATGAATATATAAAATCTTTAAAACTAATTAACTTACTAAATAAATAAAAACATAGTATAAGAATAAATATATATGATCCAGTTTTTCCGATAGTCTTCATTAGAATGCATTAGAAATGCTGGAAATAAATACTCCAATGTCTTAGCATTTTTTTCTTTTCAAATAGATGAACTTTTTTCTTTGTGTCTTTTGTATTTTCCAAACTTCCCATTATGTACATATTTGTATTTCCAAATAAAAATGTTTCTTAGAGTGTACAGATATACAGACATCTCCATGTAAGCTGGTAGACTGAGTATATGCATTTATATACTGTTTTTTCCCCAAAATTCCATTGAAAGGGAAGATACTGTATAGCAATGTAAAATGACACACAATAGAGTAAGAGAAAATATGTTCACATAAAGAATTGATAATAAGCCATATTTTATAGCATTTCTATAAACTGATTTGAGTAAGGCAGTAGGAAAAACAGGTAAAGAAATGCAGAGGCAATATATATAATGAAATATTTCTCAGCCATAAAAAAGAATGGAATCTTGGGGTACCTGGATGGCTCAGTCGTTAAGCATCTGCCTTTGGCTCAGGTTATAATTCCAGGGTCTTGGGATCAAGCCCTGTGTTAGGTTCCTTGCTCAATTGGAAGCCTGCTTCTCCCTCTCCCACTCCCCCTGCTTGTGTTCCCTCTCTCGCTGTCTCTTTCTCTGTTAAATAAATAAATAAAATAAAATAAAATAACATAAAAAGAATGAAGTCTTGCCATTTGCAATGATCTGGATGGATCTAGGGTGTATAATGCTAAGCCAAATAAGTTAGTCAGAGAAAGACAAATACCATATGAATTCATTCATACATGGAATTTAAGAAACAAAACAAATGAGAACAGGGGGAAAAAAGAGGAGAGACAGATCAAGAAACAGACTCTTTTTAAAAAGATTTTATTTATTTATTTAGAGAGTACATGCATTAGTGGGAGGAGGGGCAGAGGGAGAGGGAGAGGGAGAGAACCTCAAGCAGACTCCCACCTAAGCATGGAGTCCAATACAGGGCTCTATCTCACAACTCCAAGATTATAACCTGAGCTGGAAACAAGAGGCGGAAGTTCAATTGACTGAGCCACCCAGGCACCCCAGATTCTTAATCATAGAGAACAAACAGAAGTTACCAGAGGGGAGGTGGGTGGGTGGATGGGTTAAAGAGGTGGTGGGGATTAAGGAGGGCACTTGCTGTCATAAGCACCAAGTGATACATGGAAAAGTTGAAGCACTAAATTGTACACCTGAAACTAATACTATACTATATGTTAACTAACTGGAATTAAATTTAAAACTTAGAAAAGAAATGCACAGGCAATTCATAGGCAAATAAATACAAATGACTCTGAAAAGATCCTAAATTTCCCTGATATTCAGGAAAATGCAAATTAAATTGGAATATTATTTTTATTTATCCATCAATACTGAGACATTAAAAAGTTAGATTAAAATTCAGGAATGGTGAACACATGAGAACACAGGCATTCTCATGTATTATGTGTGGGAGTATAAACTGGCCCATCCTTTATGCAAAGCAATTGGGCAGTAACCATCATGCCTTGTGATGCTTCTCCTCCAAGTCTAGGAATCACTGAAGCTTGTTTGCAATAGTAAAAAATTAGAAACTACTTAAATGCCCA